GTTGTCTCCTCTAACACCTGCTCCTTGTCAGCTCGTTAGCCCTGCCTTTGTCTCAGTCACCTATTTATACTCTCCCTCTGCTGTCACTCCTTGTTGGTTCCTTCTTTTTGCATGTCCTGTTGTTGCTGCTTTCTTCCTGCCTCGTCTCTCCCCGTCTCCTCAGGCTCGTTTCCCCCTGATGTCTTCATGGTTTTGGTTTGTTTAGCATTTTAAGTTGGATTTCTGGATATCTTCCTCTGTTACCTATGGTCTGCAATTAAATCTCTCAGAAATCATCTCTGCTTCACTCGTCTCTGCATCTGAGTCTTCAAGCAACCTCACCACCCATTCATGATAGAAGGAACCAACCAGGATGGACCCAGCAGAGTCAAACATTGCAGGAAGCATGACAAATCTTCTGGAGAACTGTCGGTTCACTCTAGATAGGATTGCCACTCTCAGCCCTCCCTGAAGACGGGGTATGTGCTGCTGCCGACCTTAAAGAGATTTTAACCCCGCAAACAACTCTCCTCTCATCCCTAGGGTTTCTGGACATTTTAGAAGAGGTGGAGTGGAACCACAAGGCCGCTTTTGCTCAGCTTTTTAATAAGCTTCCTCACCTCGACCACAATCACCTGCAGCGGTTGCCTGCTCAACCTCTCCATCAGTTCCTTCCACTTCTCCCTCAGCCTCTATAGTTTCTCCCCAGCCATCTGTTTCCTCCAGGCGTAAGCGCCGCCGGGGGAAGAAGACCACTCCCTCTCTGGTGGGTCAGCCTGACGCCTCCACTCCCTCTCCGGCGGGTCAGTCTGACGCTTCCCCTCTCTCTGGAGGGTCAACCTAACACCTCCACTCCCATGGGTCAGCCAGCTTCTAGCTTTAGCCCCCTCGCAACCAGGTCAGTTTTTCCCTTAGTCTCAGTCGTCACCTCCATGACCAACAGCTAGCCCCATCTTTGAAGAGACTCAAATCGGTACCCATGATTACACCCCCTGCAGTCAGAGCTCCCCATCTAGAGGAGTCTTAGTTATGGGGCTTCTTTTATGGGGAGAGGGAAGATCTTTTCCCTTTCCTGCCACCTCCATCAGCTCCAGAGCCCATTAGCGGGCCAGTTTCCCTAGCTTCCGAGCCCATGAGCGGGCCAGTTTCCCTAGTTTCTGAGCCCATGAGCGGGCCAGTTTCCCCAGTGCCTGAGCCCATTAGCTGGCCGTTAAGCCTAGTGCCAGAGACCCCTTAGCCCGCACTAGGCCGTCCAGATACCCCTGAGCACACTAATAAAAGGCTCTCTGAATTAAAGCTCAGCGGGCTCTCCAAGCCTCCAAGGCCCCTCAGCGGGACTTCCAAGCCTCCAAGGCCCCTCAGCAGGCTCTCCAAGCCTCCAAGGCCCCTCAGCGGGCTCTCCAAGCCCCCTCTGAAGCTGTTAGTGTGCCGCAGTTGGCGGCCCCCTCCGAGGCTTTTCCTGTGCCGCAGTCCTCCTCCAAAGGCACCCCTTTTGTCAGAGACGGCATCACAGGCCTCTGCCAGAGGTCCTCCTGCAGCAGCACAGACTGCGCCCTCCTCCGAGGTTCTTGCTGCAACCGAGTCGGTGTCCTCCTGGGCCGCTATATCAGAGACTGCATCCTCCAAGGGTCCTTCTTCATCGCCGGCGTCCTCCAAGGGTCCTCCTTCGTCGCCAGCCTCCTCCGGAGGCCCTCCTTCGTCAGAGATGGCGTCGCTGCCGGCCTCCTCCAGAGACCCTCCTTCAAGACTCTTCCTGGTCTCCGGCCACACGGACGCCCTCCAGAGACTTTGTGTGCCCTCGCCCACCTTGGGTGGGGTATTTTTTGTTTCTGGACATTTTAGGGCATCTTGGATCGCCCTTAAGTGGGGGGCACTATCATGGTCTTGGTTCTGTTGTACTTTACTTTGCTCCTTGTTTTCTAGTTTTATTTGTTTAATTCTAGTTTTGTTATTTCTAGATTTATGTTAGTTCTCATGTTTTTCTGTTGCCCTCGTGTGTGTGTGTGTGTGTGTGTGTGTGTTCCTTTCCCCTTGGCTCCCTCGTTGTCTCCTCACACCTGCTCCTTATCAGCTCGTTAGCCCTGCCTTTGTCTCAGTCACCTATTCATACTCTCCCTCTGCTGTCACTCCTTGTTGGTTCCATGTTGTTGCTGGTCCTGTCATTGCTGCTTTCTTCCTGCCTCGTCTCTCCCCGGCTCCTCAGGCTCGTTTTCCCCTGATGTCTTCATGGTTTTGGCTTGTTGAGCAATTTAAGTTGGATTTCTGATTTCTTCCTCTGTTACCTATGGTCTGCAATTAAATCTCTCAGAACTCATTTCTGCTTCTCTCGTCTCTGCATCTGGGTCCTCAAGCAACCTCACCACCCATTCATGACAGCCTGGTGTTTTAGTCAAGACTACACCAATAAAGACCAAGACCATATATTGTCTTGGCCTTGTCTTGGTTTTGGTTGGTGTGGTCTTGACTACAACACCAATAAATCCACAGATGATAACTTGGTTTTAATTTACAGCTTTACCCTCTGGTATGGAAGAAACCTATGTTACATAATCAACTGCAACTACATTTGATGAACTTTTGACAAATTAGTCAAAGTGTGATATTTATTTTATGATTATAACAGAACTGAAGAGGACAAAAATCCCCATAAGATATATTTTTAAAAAACGGATGTTTATTGCAGACTTCTATACAAAGTACCAGAATATCTTTCAAGCCTCTTGGTTTGCTGATCTTATCTTTTTTTGCCGTTTTATAAAAATAAAAAAAAACACACAATACATCAAGTCTTCAGAATGAACATTTACATTCTGCATCCTTATATTTAAGGAACTTTCATCACTCATCACTTGTTTTCACTATTGTGGTTCCGTTTCTTTCAACTGAGTGAAACAAGAGGGGGAAACCATTTAAACAGCAATAGTTCTCCCCAAACATTTGTTGTTTAGAAGGGTATTTTCTGTCTGTTAAAACCTGAATCAGTTTGTCAAAACATTTTTCCTCATATGCTTTTAAAATAAAACCCACAATATGTACAACATTTCTTTGTTACTTTGATAATGCTATAATGTAAGGCTAATGTGTTTATGTAGATTGAGTTGTTTGCAAATATTTGTACTCTTTAATTTCTTTAACAAATACGTTTGTTAAAGCTTAGCTCAGGAGGATGGTGCGAGCAGCATATCACTGAACAGCATACTCTGATAATGTGACCATTGCTTTTGATTTTATGAGAAATATACCTGCAGATGTGCTTATTTGAGCTTCTGCTGTCAGTCGGTTTATTTTCCCCTGACAGTGACATCAGCAAAGATGTTTTAACACCTAAAGCTCATTGGCTATTTTTTTCTGATCGCTATTTATATATTAAATTATTGTGAAAGGAAATGCAAGCAGTTTGTACTATAATCAGTGTTTAACGTGCAATTATATAAGAACATTATGCAAAATGGCATGCTAAGGTTTAGAGGTAGATTCAATCAGATGCAATGACTTCATTTTTCCTAAGCTCAATTGGTGGTTTTATTACTTTTATTGATTGAAATCAACTTTAATTTTTTCTTTGTTAGAAAAACTACATTTGAACTGCTTATGTGTCAACACCTCTCAAAATGTTACAAGTTTGTTACTGCAAAAGGTGACCTCTTTCAACACCACAGCAACAAGAAAATTCCACTTCTGTTGTAATTTTCTGTTGCTGTTTCTTGTACTTAAAATTCAGAAAAAGATCATGCCATTAAAAGCTGATATTAGAGAAAGAAACCCTTCTCTAAGGTTTAGCATTTATTGTGCTGAATTTGGGATCAACAAACAGAAAAAGGTGTGAATTAACAGTAATGTAGATAATTATAATAATTAGGCGGCAGTTCCAAGCAAAGGATGTTGAAACTTTGAGAGAATAATAAAAAAAAAAAAGGAAGTAGTGACTCAGTTTTACAGAGCAAGTGGATGTTACTGCTGTCCTTGTATCAATATGTCTAATTCTCTGGGTTTTCTTCTAATTCTTACTCTCATAACAGGTAAGTGTCTTTGGATAACACTTTTTATCATATGTAGACATAATCATATCTTTTTGGTCTAAAATGTAAATTATGTAAATTCGTTTCAGTTTTCATCTAGAAAACCTAAAGTTTTTTTTATGCCTCAGAGAGTTCTGTAATTTAACATTAAAGATTATATTATTCACAGATCACTATTTCTGCTTCACAGTAATATATTGCCGTAGATATGAAAAATATTTTTCTTTAGTCTAAAAGCATAAACACAGTCAGTAAAGCATACATAAGAACTTAAGCTTCGGTCTCCTTCCTCTTGTCTTTGGTATTAATACAGATTTTTATATGCTTAAGCACTGATGTCCATTAGTATCGTTTTTTAACACTTTTTTTTGTTTGCCATGTCCTTAATGACTTGTAATCTTAACCAGTAGTTTTTAGTAATATTTGCCATGAGGACCCAGTTTTATTTCTCTTATGTTTCATAGATATTTGCAGTAAAACATTGAAAATATGCCCTTTTAAGTTATATTTTGTTTCACAGGAACTGAAAGTATTACCACAATCAGCAAGGTTGCTGTAAAGGTTGGAACTTCCATATCTATCCCCTGTCTTTATCAACCAAAATACAGAGGCCATGTGAAATATTTATGTAAAGGAAGTAGTTGGAATTTTTGCAAATATGAAATTAAAACAACTTCATCAAATAACGTAAAGTATTCGATTTCTGATGATAAAAGTCAAAACATTTTCAATGTAACCATAAAACAGCAGACGGCTGAAGATTCTTATTACTGGTGTGTCGTGGAGATTGATAATGGAGGAGATTTCGGGCAGTTATTTGAACTTTTCACCAGAGGTAAGCAATTGTAAAAAAAAAAAAAAAAAAAAAAAAAAACATATTTTAAACAAGACAAAAAAGGAAAACAAAGTAAAGTTTTTGTCATTATATCTTAATATATTTTCATTAAAAGCAAAACAATGTTTGGAGCATGAAGTCTACAAAATTAAAGTGTTTATTATGATTTGTTTCCAATGAAGACAAACCCAGTCTATATGTGGCTGATCAGATGGTGACCGGATTTATTGGAGAAAACACGACCATAACCTGCTACTACAGAGCCAAAGGAAAACTTGATTGGTGTAAACTGGGCAGGACATGTATCAAAGATGGATTAATAGATGGAATAACAGTGAACACTGACGAGAAGAAAGATTCATTCAGTGTGACCATGAGTGGACTGAGAGGAGAGCACAGTGGTTGGTATTACTGTGTCAATGGAGACCTTCAGATGCCAATTTATCTGACTGTGACCATCAGACCCACTGGTAAGAACATACTAAATGGAATAAAGCTATGCATGAATTTAATAGCTGATTATTAATTTCAGTGCTCATGCAAAAGTGGACCTTGTGTGTTGTAGCTATGTTGTCTTTGCTCTAATCATGAGAATAATAACCCTTTAATCTAATTATTTTATCCTCTATATACCATCACACATAGATTTGTTCAATTTCATTACATTCAATTTGATGATTAAAAGTAAATATAAAGTATGACATTCTTTGACTCATTACAGGTTAGCTTTTCTGGCATTAGGCTACCACAAAAAACTATCTTTAAAAACGATTTGCTGTTGGTAAAATCTTTTTTTTAACTTTTGCTATTGGTCCAGAATCACTACTTTTATTCATGGCAGTCAGATCCCAACTCAGACTAGTCTTTAGTATTTTCATTTTACTGACATATAAAACAATGAAATTATTTCCTTGTGTCGTGTATTTTCTCTTCTTAACGACTTAAAAATTGGAACTACGTTTTATAAAAATTCAAAGTTCTCAAAAAGCAGAAAAGTCTTCAAACAAAATCTAAAAAACAGGCAGGAGTCACGGTTTTCCAAGTCCAGAGTGTTTCATTGCAAAACACAGAGCATCCACACTGAGCTGATCTCCGGAGAACAACTGACAATACAATGAAACAGCTTCCCTTTTATACATTTCGGGCTGTTGGGGGCTCCTCCCCCAAGCTCCTCCTTTCTTTTCACCATTTTAGATGCATTTTCTTCAGTTAAGTCTAATTAATTTTGTTCTACCGGAGGAAAGTCCTTTTCAAAACATATTTTTTATATATTTATTCAAAAACCCTTTTTTACAGATCATGGTTACATTTCTTGTAGGTCATGATAACATATATTGCCATTAATACATCACAGTCTTTGTTATTAATGTTTCAGGGGAAACACAGTCTTAGTTATTAATGTTTCGAAACAAAGTTCTCTTCCAGTGAGTCATGAGTATAACTTTCACATTAAACTAGGGTGCTTAAAGTTTCAGTAAAACATCACACTTACTGTACCCAGTACTGCTTGGTATGTGTGTGTTAAAGACAACAACTCCATTTATCACAATTAGTTTAGCTAAGCTGTGCACTCCTGCACCCCTCATTTTCCAAATGCCTTTTAAACAGGCCTTACTTTGACTTCCTGCAGCTTCTGAGGCATTAATGATCTTTGGCTTAGCCATCTACATTTTGCTGAGCTCAGAATTTTTCCCTTCATTAAAGGCCTGCATCTGCAAAGCTGCACTTAGAATTCTTTCTGCTTACTTTCATTAAAAGCCTACATCTGCAAAGCTGCACTTAGAATTCTTTCCACCTAATTAACAAGCCTTATCTGTAAAGCTGTACTCAGATCTGTATGTGCAGGGTCTCTCACACACAGCTCAGCATTTTCCATGCTGATGCTCAAACGGTTAGACCTTTAAAGTAAGCCCTCTATTCAATGTGAAAGATGTTGTGTATATGATTTTAATCATTGGTGCACACTAATTCACTACACTTGTTTGAAATGTAGTCGAATCGACTACAGTTACAGCAGCAACAGAATCTGCTACAGTAGAAGACCAGAAAGAAGACCAGAAAACCAAAGAAGACAGGTCAGAAGTCTTTTTTTTAAATAGTTGTCTGAGTTTTAGATATTAGACTTGTCTAATACGCAATGTAAAATGTATTTTTCAGAACTTTTCCTGCACTACTGAGCCTCATCATCCCTCTGGTTTCATTGATTTTGGTTGCTATTGTGGCGCTATTAGTACTGTTTAGAACCAGTAGGTCTTCCTATTTGTTTCTAATTATTGGATCCAGATTATTTAATGTCAAAAAGCATAATATAGCCATTTAATGTCTTACAGAACGTGCCAAAATTCAAGATTCAAGTGGCAGCTCCAACTTGGTTAGTGATGTTAAAAGAATGACCACATCAATAGGATTTATTACCTAAATAAAAATCTTTTATATATATATATATATATATATATATATATATATATATATATATATATATATATATATATATATATATATATATATATATATATATATAATAGGTTTATTCAGCAGAATTCTGTTTTGTACTGTTGTAACTTTTATAGCTCCAATAAAAAAATCATTTTTACATTGGGTTAAGAAAAGCTTTTGATGTCTGCCGATATTTTAATGTGTTCATTTACAGAAGGAAGGGGAGGTTACGTATTCAGAAGTCAGTTTCAAGAAAAATCAGGTAAACTGCTATGCGAAACATAATATTGCAGTGAGCCGTGACATTTAAAGAATGTGCAAATACATAAAACTTCTGCTGTGTTTATTTCTGTTTGGGACACAGGCATTACCTGTTGAAAGCGATGGAGATGTGACCTACAGCTCTGTTGTTATTAAAAAGCCACAGGGTGGAAAAAGGGTAACTATTTAGGGAGCATTATTTATACTGCCAGATTAGCTATGTATCTTTATCTGCTTGACACAGAGAGTTGTATGTATAATTTCAAAGTCAAATACTGCTAAGGGCCAATTAATATCCCCCCTAAAAAAACACATAGCAAGTCTATAAGTATCTCAAAACCAAGTCATATATGTTTAATAAATACCTCCTATTTTGGCTCTTCCCTCTAACCACATTATTTATTTCTCCTTTACAGGCTAAGGCAAAGGACGACAATGTGACACACAGTCACCACAAGCAAAATGTTTAAATCAATCGGTTTTTAAATGTTTTTCCGTTACATGACTAAGATTTAGACAACTTTGTTGTAAGGGTCTCTTTGCAAGTGTGCAACAACGTAATGGTTTATTGTTTGACATTATTTTAAAAAAGCACTTGATCATATCTTTTTTTAGATTAAGTATAAGCATTCCAACTGATTATGGAACAACTTTAACCTCTTTAACAGCTTCAGAGCATATTGAATGCTTATTGTTCCTCTTGAATGCAAATGATTTAAATGTTTATATTGTCTTTATTTTGTTTGAATCCTAAAAAAATTTGTTAAAATATTTCACTTTATTGGGATCTATGTAAACGCAGAATATTAATTGTGCATACGTCTACTGAAATGTTTTTCTTCCTGACTAATATTTGCTTTTTGCAATAGTACATTTTTAGCTCTAAATGAAATCTGAGATGAACAGGACTTGGAGCTCATCACCAAAAGTAGCTCCTCAAAATATTTCACAAGATGGATGGTTAAAATTCCCAGAAGAAACATGCAGGAAGCATTTTTACAATTAAATTAAATTGTTGTTTTTGGCAAATCAATCCTCTTAAAACAAAAAATAAATTGTTTTTCCCTTTCTTTATTTACTGCTCGTTTGTTATCTTTTAAGGGATTCCTATCTCATAGTCCTAAGGTGTGAGTGTGTGTGTGCAGGGTTGTATGACACTGTGACTCTGTGTTGCCCTGTGAAAGAATGGACACCTCTCCAGGACGTACAGCCCATCTCGCCCATAGACTGCTGGAGATAGGCACTGGCCCTTATGCGATCCTGACAGAAGAAGCCGAAGAGAATGGATGGACGGATAATATTTATAGAATATTTAGGGGGACTTACCAAACTACCCTTAAAGTGTATGACACTAAAATGACCCAATTTGTAGCTCAATATCATAGAATAACAGTATTTCTATATCATGAATTTCTTTGGCAGAATTCAAATGAGCGATTTAAATCTAGATTAATTCCAAGATTACAGTGAGATTAATCTAGATTTGAAAAATTTAAAAATTTTAATTAAATGACTCAGTGCAGAAACTCTCCTCGACAAGTATTATTTGCTTTCATGCACAAAACCAGTAACTCAGTTCAGTTTTTCAACTCTGGTGGGAGAACATTTTTTTTTGTTAAATGTTTGGAAAAAAAAAAACCTACCTACCTACCTATCTATCTATCTGGAGACAAAACTGGATAAATGTGGTGTTCTTTGATTGTCAGTAGGCTCATAAGCACGTTTTAGTTTAAACAAGGAAACAACGAGAAGTGAAATGAAGATGTTATTTCATTATAGCTATTTCGGATTAAGCTATTATTAAAAGTCATGCTGTTTCTGTTAGAACAGAGAAGCTGTGAACCCTGGGTCAACAGGTTCCTTTTGACTTTCCACAGACAGAATAAATTTGCTTAAGAGTTCCTCTTTTAGCAATGAGGAAGAAATGTGGTGCAAAGTCCCAGAAAACTGTGAACCTCAACAGATAGATGAGTTTTTGTTTCAGTTATATTTTTATTTACACAGAGATAAACATAGGTTTTCACAATGGGGAAATTATCTCTCTGCATTTAACCCATCCCCTCGGGGAGCAGTGGGCTGCCATTGTGCGGCGCCCGGGAAGCAGTGTGGGGTTAAGGGGTTTGCTCAGGAACCCAGAGAAGAGGCTGTGGGGATCGAACAGGGTACTTGCAACCTTCTCAGAGCACAAGCACACTGCTCTAGTGACAAAGCCAACACTCCATATCATAGTGGGATGAAGAATGCGATTTCCTTTGCACAAAGGGCTGATATGTATGGTGGTGAGATCCACAATAGGTCCTTTGATGAGAGACAAGTCCACCCCTCAATACCTTCTGTAAGACCAGTGGCCTTAACTTATCCAGTCAGGAAAGATTTTGAAGAACCTCTCTAAGCTGTAATATGTTTAAATCTGTAAAGGAAAAATTAAGCCTTTTTGCCTTCTGAGACAATAGAATGGTTGAAGACTCAATATAAAAACTTAATTTATATTTTAAACATGCAAAATGCCTTGGTTCTAAGGTGAACTTGCTTTGTTATTTAGCCTAAAATTCCACTCAGCCTCACATTTAGGCTCATTAACTAATTTAAATTGGTGTCAATGTGTTTTTGGATAGATTTTAGATTTTCTTCCTAAATACCAGTTTCCGGAGTGTGTAAATCAATGAAACATTTTTTTTTCTGCTGGTTATTCCCTTCATAGAATGCCTTGTACACTACTAGGACAATGCATTTTGAAGTTGAATGATCCAGTTACTGTCTGCCTATTAACAGGGGAGGGGAGTCACTTGTCAAGCTGATGAGTTATACGGTGCAACAATTCCTGAATGTCACCAAAAGAACTTGCTGTTGAAGATAAAAATCCCTGGAAGCATATAAGTTATAGAGTATGAATAGATAGATTGTAGCCAATAAAGGTATTTTAGAACATAACCAAAAATATTTCCAGAAGTTTGTTGCTTATAGGAAGCATGCGGTTGGATGTCTGCACTAAAGGCTGTCAGCAATGAGTCCAAAACATTCGTTCAAATTATAACCACCATCTCCAACACCTCATTTGGAAGCAAATCAGATGCAGCCGTTTTCATGGGAGTCTGATAGAACTTGTTTGGTTCAACCTCTAAAATATACACAAGTTTAAAGCTTTCAAATATGACAGAACAGACAACTATATGACTCTGGTACTTGGTACTAAGGTTAAATGGGGACTTTTTTTCCCTCCACTGTGTCAAAAGCCATAAAGACAGCATCATATCATTGTCAACTATGAATCCTTAACTAAACCGCATAAAACAAGTTTTGTTTATTACATAAAGGCTGCATAGATCACCATTCAAATATTGCTATCTTACAACAACAGGAGCTTTGAAAATGTTCAAGTGCAAAAAAAAAAACACACACAAAAACCCCTGATATTTAAAGGCAACTGTTCTTGGTTTTAGGTATAACTGAATAATATTTTGAACATGAAAAAAAAAACTATTTCTTTTGTAAGTGTTTGAAAACTACTGAACACAAGTGTAGGATTTCAAATGAAAGGTTTTCTATTCACCTATTACTTCCAATCAGTTCAAAAACATAAGAGTAAAGCACAGCTCGGAAACATTCAGTGTCTAGATCAAAGTCAAACTCTTTAAATGACAAAACCCCTTTAAGCTATTTATACTTTTTTTTTGCCCGCAGCTGTGCTTAACTTATACAAATGAGCACTAATCCGATATAAAGGTTTACAGTTAAATTTTACAACAAACTTAGAAAGATGCAGAAAGATGATGCATGCACTAGATGAATAAAATTTGGCTTGACTAACACTAAGCAATCAAAAAGTAGTTCAGAAGGACAGACAAAAAACATTTTAAAACCTTTTCCATTTAATAATGAAAAAACAAAAATGTACATGATAGAAACAGATGCAGATTCAAAAATTATTAACAAAGTTAAAAACAATGATAAACTAAACTAAACATATTGTGAGGACAACAAATGAAAATACGAAAGGGAAGAAATTGGGATCACATTTGCCAAAAATTCAGTAAAGAATATTTTAGTCTCCCTAATGTCAATCAATAGGTCAGAATTTAGGGTCAGAATTTTCTGCATTGGAGTCTTGGTTCAATTTCATCTCCAAGAACTTGGACATGTGTTCCAGGCGTATGGAGCCTCGGTGGATCCAGTCTTTCTCCCCATTCTCCTGTGTGATGAAGGGATAATAAAATACATCAAAATCACATCTCAAAATTCTTTAGACAAAGCAAAGAGACAGACAGACAGCGCATAAAGACAAAGGGCAGATGATGCCAGACTGATGACATTTGTATTACAGGAAGTGTAATGTGCCTGATATACAGACCATCAGGCACATTAAAAGAAAAAATAGCATTTTGTCATATATATATATATATATATATAAATAGTGGGCATAGATTTTTTTTTTTATCTTGAAATTTATCTCACTGTAATCTTGGAATTAATCTAGATTAATATCGTTCATTTTAATTCTGCCAAAGAAATTCATGATATATGTGTGCTACCTAAATAATAAGTAAAAGTAAGTCTGGCTTGAGAAACCTGTTCAACACATTTTCGCTGAAGTAAACCCTGCATCTTTATAGCTGCATCCATGTTTAACATGTCCTCAGATGCAGGCGTGGTTTCAGGGTCAGACATCATTAATGATCACATAGATCCCTTCACTTTAGAAAAACTTCATCAACAAACAATCCTTTTCCTAATTCAACAACTTTGCTTTCGGTAGGCGCTTTCATTGATAAACTCAATCAGCTGATTGTACTCGCAGCCCACTGGCTGCTTTCTTTGTTCGTCTGTGAGGGATCGGCTGGATCCCCCAACCTTGCACTTTTCTTCAAGTCATCAAGGACGTTTTTCTACTTGTTACGGCTACTCTGGCAACATAATAACTTCCCAAAAATAAAAAAAATGCCAGGAGGAGCTTTTTGACTCACTCAAAAATAAAATTACTCGCGGAGAGCTTTGTGGTTTTAGAAGGTGTTTCCTTTTCTTATAAAAATAACAGAAATAATCTGAGTTGAATAAAACAATTGGATCAACCACAGCAGCTGCTTCTGCTTGGTAATCACAGCAGGAGGCGGCCTGACAAGGAGGAGGGTCAAATGAGATAAACAAATAACAATAGGTCTACCGTTCACATAACCTTAGATCTTTAACAGTAATAATTTAGCAACAACAACAAAAAAAATTAATCTAATTCTTAAGAGGCTCCAACAGCATGTCACGTTCAATGTGGTTATTTCACAGTACGCCACCACAGGTTTGAAGACTGATTCGTTCTCGCCCCCAAATATACATCCGCGCTAGAATATCATGGTGAAAGTCATCAATATAGACCCAGCTCCCAACCCAGCTGTGAGAATAGATTAACAGCAATATGTATATTTTTTAATCACCCGACAGGAGTCTGGCGCTAATGCTGAAAACGACCCACCACTAATATATATTTTTTTATTGGTATTTACACACTTTAAAGGTGCATTACGCAAGCTTCAAGGCAAATACCTTTTTTCTTCTTATACATGGCTTTACAATCAAAGCCAGATAAGAATGAAGTGAGATTAAAAGCATTTATTTTTGTTGTTGTCACATAAAACAAATTTTACTACAAAAAGTCAATCTCCAATCCATAAAGTACTTTACCTACGTCTGGCTAATTTACTTGCAATAGTACAAAATCCTTTCCAACTCCTCAAATGTTTGAATTAGAACCCATAATTCAAAGAGATTATATCTAAAAAATGTATGTGTACTTGTTGGGTTTAAATCCAGAGAAATTTGCATTTAAGAGTTTAAAGAGGACGACATGATCAAACACAGACAGGGATTTGCAACATCAGCCTCTGCACAGGGGAGAAGAACTGCTGGCTCACAACCAGCACCTTTTCTCACTGTTCCCTTCATAGCAGAGCCTTTTATTAACAGTTTATAACATAATAGGGCGGGTCTTAAACAGAAGACCCTGTAATGATTATCTGGCAGGATACAGGTCATAAGACAGTGTGACTCTGTTTT